GGCTTTTTTCTTTTTGCTTATGTGGTGCTGAGGAATCGAACCCAGGGCCTCAGGCATGCAAGGCAAGTGTTCTACCACTGAGCCACCTTCCCAGTCCCAAATTCTTTAACTCTTAAACTACATCTCCTTACCCTTTTGGTGGTGGTGGTGGTAGTGGTGGTGGTGTGTGTGTGTGGGGGGGCTCCTGAGGCTTGAACTCAGGGCCTGGGCACTGTCTCTGAGCTTGTTTTTGCTCAAGACTAATACTCCATCACTTTAGCCAATGCTCTAACTTATAACTTTTTGAGTGCTTAATTGGAGATATGAATGTCACAAACTTTCTTGTCCAGGTTGGCTTTGAACCTCCATCCTCAATTAAAGCCTCCTGAGTAGCTAGGATCACAGGCCCGAGCTTCCAACACCCAGCCTTTGGTGTTTTTATATTATGTTTGAGTCAGTTTCAGGAACTTTCTCTTAGCTGCTTTTGATTTCTCACTCCTATTCCATCTTCTGAGTAACTGGGATTACAGACTTGAACCATGACTCCTTGATGAGCTCAGGGCTCTGTCCCTGAGCTTCTTTTGTTCAAGGTGAGGGCTCTACCATGTGAGCCACAGCACCACTTCCAGCTTTTTTTAGTAGTTTTATTGGAGATAAGAATCTCGCAGAGGGGCTGGGAATGTGGCTTAGTGGTAGAGTGCTTGCCTAGCATGCATGAAGCCCTGGGTTTGATTCCTCAGTACCACAAAAACAGAAAAAGCCAGAAGTGGTGCTGTGGCTCAAGTGGTAGAGCACTAGCCTTGAACAATCGAAGCTCTGGGACAGTGCCCAGGCCCCGAGGTCAAGCCTCAGGATTGGCAAAAAAAAAAAAAAAGAAAAATGTTTACTTTGGGCTGGGAAGGTAGCTCAGTGGTAGAGTGCTTGCCTTGTATGCATGAGTCCCTGGGTTCCATTCCTTAGCACCACATATGCAGAAAAAGCTGGAAGTGATGCTGTGACTCAAGTGGTAGATCGCTAGCCTTGAGCTGAAGAGCTGAGGGACAGCTCCCAGGCCCAGAGTTAAAAAAAAAAAAAAAGTGTCACAGTTTCCTGCCTAGGCTGGCTTTGAACCTTGATCCTCAGATCTCAGCTTCCTGAGTAGATGGATTACAGGCATGAGCCACTGGTCCTTGGCTTGGTTTTGTTTTGTTTTTGTCATTCCTGCATCTTGAACTCAGGGCCTGGACACTGTCCCTGAGCTTCTTTTGCTAAAGACTAGCACTCTACCACTTGAGCTACAGTACCACTTCTGGCCTTTTCTGTTTTTGTGGTACTGAGGAATTGAACCCAGGGCTTCATGCATGCTAGTCAAACACTCTACCACTGAGCCATATTCCTAGTCCCTGTTTTTGTTTTCATATGCCAGTACTGAAGGTTGAACTCAGGGCCTGATTCTTTCCCTTTAGCTTTCTTGATCACAGCTGGCACTCTTCTATCTGAGCCATACCTCCAGTCTGGCTTTTTGATGGTTAATTGGAGATGGAATCTTGCATACTTTTCTGTCTGAGCTGGCTTTGAGCCATGATTCTTAGATCTCAGTCTCCTGAGTAGCTGGGGTTATAGGCATGAGCCACAAGTGCCCACCTTTAACTGTCAGCTTTTTTTGTGTGTGTCAGTCATGGGGTTTGAACTCTGCCTGAGCACTATCCCTCAGCTCTTCAGTTCAAGGTGAGCATTCTACCACTAGAGCACCCACTCCCGGTTTTCTAGTGGTTTATTGGAGATGAGTCTCAGGGACTTTGCTGCCAGGGCTGGTTTTGAACCACAATCCTCAAATCTCAGCCTCCTGAGTAGCTAGAATTATAGGCATTGAACCACCAGCACCGGGCCTAACTGTCAGCTTTTTATAGGGATCAGCCCACTACTTATCCAGACAATTGGTGTCATTCATTGGGCTACTGTAGAGTCTCTAGGGTGAAAGAAAGAAATTCCACACTGGTCTTGTATACCTCCCAATCTTGAACCTGTAGTCAATCTTGGGGTCTCCAGCTGCCTCCACCCAGCCACCAGGATTTGTGGGAAAGCCAGCCTCAAGCAAGACCAAGGAGCCTGAATTCAACTCTAGTCCTTGTTAATGCCAACCTAGGCTACGTAGGTATGTTCATTCAACAGTCACTTAGAGAGCACTATACTTCTGAGCACGGGGGATGCATTGGTGAACAGGACACATGCACAGCACCTGCTGTTACACATCTTACAATATGGGGGGAGAAGAAGCACACCATAAGGAAACTAAATAAGTACCATCACTTCAGGTAGTAGTTGGAGTTTAAAAGAAGGAGGAGGAGCTGGGAATGTGGCCTAATGGTAGAGTGCTTGCCTAGCATACATGAAGCCCTAGGCTCAATTCCTCAGTACCATATAAATAGAAAAAGGCAGAAGTGGTGCTATGGTTCAAGTGGTAGAGTGCTAGTCTTGAACAAAAGAAGCTCAGG